TGGATGAGTTGTTTCATTGGATGAGAATTGTTTAATTGGATGAGAATTGTTTAGTTGGATGAGAATCGTTTCATTGGATGAGAATCGTTTCATTGGATGAGAGTTGTTTAATTGGATGACAATCGTTTCACTGGATGACAATCGTTTCATTGGATGACAATCGTTTCATTGGATGAGAATCGTTTCATTGGATGAGAATTGTTTAATTGGATGAGAAGTGTTTCATTAGCAGTGATTGAATGAACAGTGAAGTAGAATCGTTAGGAATTAATTTGTGAATTCAAATCATATTTTTTTGAGAACAAAAACCTGAAAGCAGCAGAGTGCTGAGTATGACATGACTGTTGCATTGATAGAATTATTACTTTACACATTTGCATGATGTTAAATTTATCATGTGAGCTATCAGAGTCATTATCAGTCATTTATTAGCAGCCAACCTTTAGTTGCTCTTGCGAATATTGTCTGCTATTATTTCTATGCAGGACTCTTTTCAGTTTGTTAATTACAGTAACATGACGATGAAATGTGATCCGACTAGTTTTCATAAAATGCTGCTTAGACCAAAAAGATAAAGAAAATATATAAGAGAAGTGGTTGGCTCTCCGACATGACCACCTGCCAGTTTTTAAAGTCTTCATATCTGAATTACTAACACCTCTAACTCACTAAGGCTCTGTTGCATTACCCCAGTCACGATACGGCCTTAGATGTACTACGCCTGTTCTGCATATGGAACACATTCTATGACAGCAGTGCTTTGCATGATCCGTTATGTTACTGTTTGACAGTGGAAATAAGCAGACCAGAATTAGAAACATTTGCTGCCTGCACTGGTTTGTGAAACACATTCCTGTGGCCAGTCTGCCCGTTCCTTTTGTTGCTTCTCCCTCTACTCAACAATCACCGAATCCCGGATGACATTATTTTTCATAGCAAATAGATTGTGTTTGGAAAATATACTTCAAATGTACTTGTTATTGTATTCCTGCAGACCCTTTATTGTCTTTTACTGCTACACATTTATTTTACTTTTCAAATGACACATCTGCAATTACCTCTCACCTTCGAGGAAAAGGTTTACATTCAGTGTTTGAATCACTTTCTCACCTCATCAAACCTGCGTTTGATATGTTGATGAATGTTTCATTGAGTTTCTAAATCAGAGGAAAATATAGAAATACTGAGTTGGAACTCATGTTGTTGTTAATTTAGCTTAAAAACGCATTCAGATAAAATGTCTTCAAAACAATGCAGTATCACCTGTTATCATCACTAATGTGTGGCTGCAGTTGCACTCCTGCCTCAGGAGTTATTTAGCATGTCCTCCAAATGTACCAGCTTTTGCTTTAATGACACTCAACTTTCAGACCTAAGACCTGTTGGTAAATACCAGTGTATTTAATTGAAAATAACAATATGTGGACATTGCATTCCTAGAATGCAATATACAGTATTTCTTTTCTGTGTATCTATTTGGTTCAACAAATATTGAATGAGGATAAACTCCTGTCAACTGATTTTATTCTGTCTTGTAGGACTTGCTGGGGAAAGATATTCTGGAGTTCTGCCATCCTGAGGACCAGAGTCACTTGAGAGAAAGTTTCCAACAGGTAGGACGGGACTGTAGCTATTCATTGGACCTAAAGGTTTCTTTTTTCAGTCAGGTGAAAATATCATGGGGAGATCACTGGGTTAAAACCTGAGAAATGGTATGAGAAAAGAAAAGAATTACAAAGCCAAAAGAAATGTATTGGCTACACACCTACAAAACCTGTAAGTAAGTAATTAAAAGTTATTTTAGAGCACCTTTCAAAAACCAGGGTCGCTAAGTACCTCACAAAAAGACACAGTATTTGAATTAATTTTCAAGTAAGGGGTGCTTCTTATTCCAGGGGCCACATGGAGAAGAAAAGTATACAACCCTGGCCCGGTACTGACAGTGGGAGCTGCTGGTGGCGACTTCAGATGGTATCATCACATTTTATTTCAGTAAATTCTATCTGCTCGTTCTCAAGCACATGAGAAAGGGTTTGAGAAGAGCTTAATATTCTTCTCAATCGCACAAAATCTTGAAAGTGCTTCAAATTCTGTGATCAATGATGTGAGAAGTCACATTTGTCCCCATTTTCAGAGAAATGATGGGCAGCCATAGTGATCACTACCACTATTTGTTGGCTGTTGGTGTATAGTGTCAGCCTAATTAATGTTCACAACCTGTACATACAACTTGAAATTGAAAAAATAATCCAAAGGAATTTAAATCATTTAAAAAAAAATGCAAACTTCATTGGGCAAATGTATGCATGTGATTGAAGTTGAGTATTACCCATAGAGTCCAGTAGAGTCCAGTAGAAGGCGGAGTCTGTGTGAGGTAGAACTTACCACCGCATTTTGACTGACGCCACACACTCCTCGCTCGTAATACTTCAAATATATAAATATTACAATACTTTCGTCAGTGGGCCATAGGCTCAATCACTATTGTGTTACCTCATAGTGACATTTATTTAAATGAGATACTCTGAGATTGAGAAGGAGCTTGTCTCTTAGCAGACTTGCTAGCATCCATATAGCATTGTTCAGTTTGGTTTGACAGGAGTGCTGGCAGGCTGAATGACTGGGTTCAAGTGATTATTCTGTTTGCTTATGTCTGCAAGTATTTAGCCTTCTCAATCACCGATAGAGTTGATTCTGATCATAACTGAGTCACCTGCAACTCTGTTACATGTCACATAACATTGTGTAATACTAACAACTTGTTTAAGTGATTCATTCTATGATGTATCTGGTTTATTTGACCTGGTTTATGTATTCACAGAGACCCCATTCTCCATATTCAGCAGCAAAACAGCATCATTCTACCTGTACTGTTCATAGCTGATCTTAACCAGAGGAAAATTTTCCCTTCCTCCTCCTCCTCCTCCCTGTCTGTTCTGTGGTCTCTGCCCTCTGTGTGGATTGAAAAGTTCTCCGTATCTGTGATCAGCTGCTCTGGCCTGCCTCAGCAGTTCATTTCAAAGTCATTTTAGATCCATGTCACATTGGGAAGAAGTACAGTGCTTTCATTACTCAGACTGACAATCAGAGGAGCCACAGAGAGTACATAATACAGCAGAAATCACTACTATATGACAACTCAACTCAAAACTTAGAAACCAGAGTTATTGCATTCTCACAGATTCTGGAGGTGGTTGTGTTGATGAAATGGAATAAATAGGTTCCGCCTCTGTTCTTGTCTCAGGGAATGCTCTGCTAAAACCATGTAATGTAGACTTGATCACATCAAAGCTGATTGATGAAAATCTTCACTCTCAGGTGACCACACTGGAAATGGTTTACTTCAAATCTGAAAAAAATGAGTATGAAAAATACATAAAGATGTTCATGTTGTGTCACAGTATTGCTGCTACTCTTTTCGTCTCCAGATCCAGCTGGATAGTTAACACTTGTTAAAACAGAAGTATGAATCAGTGGTGTTTCTCCCTCTGCAGGTGGTGAAGTTGAAGGGTCAGGTTCTGTCTGTGATGTATCGTTTCCGAATGAAGAACAGAGAGTGGATGCTGATCCGAACCAGCAGCTTCACCTTCCAGAACCCGTACTCTGACGAGATAGAGTACATCATCTGCACCAACACCAACGTCAAGTAGGTTCCTCACACACACACACACACCATTTAAATCAGCCTAAATCTGACCAAAATGTCAGATTTAAAAAAAGAAACATTTGATTTATTTTTCTATGTTCAGTTAACATTCTCCTAAAAGGATACGGACAGCAAGGCACAGAGTAGTAAAGACACAAATACAACTCTACCTATCAGGCATTCATAAAGGATTTATTATATTTAATATTTTATTCTACCATTAATATTAAAAGCACAATAACCAAATTGATCCACACACACAGTACACCACACCACAGTGGTGCAAATAAGGTAACATTACTCCAAAGAAGGGACCATCATTTTCGTATTTAAAGACATTCTTTGAGAAACGATATTGGGATTTGTTAAAAACTGTACAGTACAATACGTTTGTTTGGCAGTGCCTCTTGTTGCCTGTTGCTTTGTTACTGATAAGGTGAACACAGCAAAACTAAACTATATAGAATCAGTCAAGGTCTCTTGCTCTGTTAAAACAGTGAAACAATGTTGAGAAAGGTATTAGACCAGTGTCTTAGTCACTTTAACCATGCCATGTTCATACAGCGCCTTCAGCAGCATCTCAATAGACACTGATGCCTTTTATTTTCAGGGAAAGGAAGCAGGAAGTTTGATTACATAGATCTCTGTCTCTACTGGAAAAATATTGATGCTATCCAGACCTTTGAAAAGAAGCAGTGTCTATCTCCAGACTGTTCAAGGCAACAGGGGTAACTGCCAGGGAAATTAATTTCTATTCATTTCCATGTTGTTCGCCAGGTACAAACAGGATATAGGTCTAAATATTATGGAAAAGTCTGGGTTGAGCAAAAGTGTCAAAAACATAGGATATTTAGACTAGAACTAAAATTACACACATCATTGGCAGTAGCGGGCAGTGCGGAGGTGTTGGCAGTCGGGGGCAGTGCGGAGGTGTTGGCAGTGGGGGGCAGTGCGGAGTTGTTGGCAGTGGGGGGCAGTGCGGAGGTGTTGGCAGTCGGGGGCAGTGCGGAGGTGTTGGCAGTGGGGGGCAGTGCGGAGGTGTTGGCAGTCGGGGGCAGTGCGGAGTTGTTGGCAGTGGGGGGCAGTGCGGAGGTGTTGGCAGTCGGGGGCAGTGCGGAGTTGTTGGCAGTGGGAGGCAGTGCGGAGGTGTTGGCAGTCGGGGGCAGTGCGGAGGTGTTGGCAGTCGGGGGCAGTGCGGAGTTGTTGGCAGTGGGGGGCAGTGCGGAGGTGTTGGCAGTGGGGGGCAGTGGGGGGCAGTGCGGAGGTGTTGGCAGTGGGGGGCAGTGCGGAGGTGTTGGCAGTGGGGGGCAGTGCGGAGGTGTTAACTACCATCTATTGAAATAGTGAATGTTCTGTTGAAGATGATGCCGTGACATCATCTTCGTTACGTTTGTCGCTACGGTCATCCGCTGAGAATCCCGCCTGCACTGAGGGGGAAGAATGCACAGTGGAAAACGAATAGAGAAAAGCACCTGGTACCACACAGAGGAGTCCAGCAGAGCCGTACAATGCCAATTTTTCAAATGAATGGACTACAAACTTATGGCATTGAAAACAACCCATTGATGCATTTAAAATCATATATTCACACACAGAGACACCACTGCCATTCAATGTTTTGCGTGGGCCTTTGCTCATTACAGCAGACAAGGAAATGAAGATATTTTAATTAGTACAATGTAATGCGCAGCTACTAACCATCTATAGCCGAAGGCCCTGGTCACAAATAGTCTTTTTTTTGTTGCTGTTACCTGTTATTGGGTTTATATGGAGCTACAATACTAGCTATCAATTTAGCTACATTTGTATCTAGAGGGTGGCACATGGTTAGCACTGTCGCCTGACAGCAAGCAGGTTCTGGGTCCAAACCCAGAGTTTGGATGTTCTCCCCATGTTCTCCCCATGTCAGCGTGGACATGCAGGATAACCTGTGACTCTAAATTGGTGTCACTTTGTGATGCATTACGTGTCAAACACTGACAAACAGCTATTGTGGGTGTAAACATGGGGTTAAAACAAAAACTCTTGGTTAGGTTTAGGCAACAAAAGTACTTGGTTAGGTTGAAGACGGGGGGGTTCCTTCTTAAAAAGTGTCAGATACATAGCGACCACACGACAGAACACGGCACTTGTTTGTCCTGTCTCCTACCCCAACAACACCTCTTTTCATCTACATGAATTATATGTAGATGTTTGTTTATCATGTTAGTTATCTCATTCTACTGAATTTAAAATGATGTATCGTGCTGCAAGTGCCAGTCTGAGGTGCTGATGGTTTATATGGTGTGTGTTGTGTTTTGTAGGCAGCTACAGCAGCAGCAGCAAGCGGAGCTGGAGGTGCACCAAAGAGATGGACTGACTGCCTACGATCTTTCCCAGGTAACCCTGTGCTTTAGAGCCACTTCATTCACACGCTGTAGATGACAGGAAGGGTCATTTATGTCACAGAACGCACATTGGTGCCACGCCAGTAGTATTTGATTGTATTAAAGCATCTATCTTAAGTAAACGATAATGATAATGATATTTAATATTCAGAAGGGCTCATGTTTGCCAGCTCTCATAATGTTTCCTATTATAGTCAGGAGGTGGCGCTATCTGGACCTTATCACAGTCGGCTACTTGTGACTTTGCTCGTCAATGAACTAAGTTAGCATTTGCATTTTCTTTCGCTAACGGCCTCCAGACTCGATGTAATCTTAGTTCAAAAACATGAAAGAAATAGTTACTAATGAATCTACATTTATCGTGTAACCATGTACATGGGTTCATTTTTGTGACATCGGTCTATCATCTCTAACGTCAACCCTTATGCCCTCCTTCCCTTCCCAACATTCACCTCACCCTCAGGTGCCTGTGGCCAGCGTCAGCAGCGGAGTCCATGAGGCAGGGAAGAACATCGACAAGACAGAAGTCCTGTTCTCTCAGGAGAGAGACCCGCGCTTTGCTGAGATGTACACAGGCATCGCTGGCTGTACGACACACACACAAACACACACACACACACACAAACAGCCACCTACTCCTCACACATGTCCTGATAGTTGCTGCTTCAGCTTCTTGCTGTCTCTGCTCTCTGTTATTTCTATAATGCTGACCCTGTGTTTGTGTGTGTAGCGGCAGATAAGAAGATGATGGTTCCCTCCTCTACAGCTGGAGGACAGCAGCTCTACTCTCAGAGCTCTCCCTTCCAGCAGGGACACGCTGGCAAAAGCTTCAGGTACACCACACGTCACATCCAGTCCCGGGTTATGCAGGGCTCACCACCAACCAGGCATTGGCTTATGAACTGAAAATATGGTTATCCCCTTATATTTTGATATACAACCTAATAATCAATATTAAATATCACTAATGCAACAAATATGTATTTCAGGGTGCATATTTTGGTGTTTGCTGTCCGTATATTGTACATGTTACTGTCACTGATGGCAGCCTAAGCCAATTTCTAGAAATACCCTTACTGTCAAGCCCTGCCCTGATGTGATGGTACGTTGTCTTTGTGCACACAGTTCCTCTGTGATCCATGTCCCCGGTGTGAACGACATCCAGCCGTCAGGCTCCACCAATCAGAACCTAGCTCAGATCTCCAGACAGCTCAATCCAGGCCAGGTGGCATGGTCAGGCAACCGCCCCCCCTTCTCTGGACAGGTAACAAGCACACACAAACCAATACTGAAGTGAAACCAGTCAATAACAGTCTGCAATCTTTATGGTTAACATGATTGCCAAACTCATTTTTTCTGCTCCTCCTCCTGAACCCCAGAATCCCATCTCTGGTGCCTGTTAACAGATGTTATTGGTCATTGTGTGTGTGTGTGTGTGTGTGTGTGTGTGTGTGTGTGTGTGTGTGTTTCATAATCTTGCTATGGGAATGTGCTGGGCATATGTTTCTTAACAAGCCCATCTCGTGTCTTCCACACACATTGCTGCACTTGTCAGTTCATTCCATTGGACTAAATTCTTTGTTGGTCAGAAACCACTAAATGCATCACAGTAACTAGAGGCAGATGATGCGAGGGCTGAATGTTTTCACCACCTCTAAACACAGCAGACATGAAGACATCATGCAGGCTTTCTCTGTGTCCTGGGACACCTAGGTTAAGCTGGCTCGATTCTTCTATGCAGTTGCCCAACAATGGAAAAGCCCATTTGCCTGAACTGTGCTGGCAAAACAATGAGTAGTCTCTGAAGAATGAAGGTCATCAAGTTGTTTCCGACCCACAACAAGCTCCGACATGTATTTTGGTCTGATGTCCTTTTAACAGCTGGAGGTTTGAATGAAAGAAGTAAAGAAACATTAGTCTGTAGGTTATTAGTTTATCATGAATTAAATAGCACAACCCTGTCTGAATATTAAGTATAGAAATCCTCATCCTTCATGTTTTGATAGTCTTTTGAAGCTGCTATTGCTGTAAAATGTCTTCACACATGGACCTAAACCATTTCCCAAACTAAACATATGCATTGTCTTGAAGCACACACAGATGCATTGGAGTTACATTGTATCTCTGATTTTGTTTTTGTAAATTAAAAACGTTTCCACAATAAATAGTAATGATAGAGAGGCAAAGTCTTTTTCTCCATTCTGTAATCCCATTTCAATTTCTTCTTTCGACAGTACCTTCAATGTTACATTGAAACACCGGACTCTCCCAATGTTAATGTACCATCATGTAGGTTTAAATCAGACCGCCACTCTGACTTTGTCTCTGAGAAATGATGTTGTGTCCGTTGTGCTGCAATGGTGGACAGCTGTAAATACTACAGTACCCATGAACAACACAGCTCCATTATTCATATGAAGGGGAGAACTGCGTTGGCTCTTTGGGGGTGTCTCATGTTGTAGTTCGGCCAACTTTTTTCATGTGCATAAAGATGGATATGAACTCATTTAACTTTATTACAAAGCATGTTCAAACTTGAAAATACAGTTTTTGCACATCCCATACCTGTGGTTAGCATATGTAAGCAATCAGTTTGTTTTCAGGGAGCTTCATTAACATTAACGGGAGTGCACTGAGCAGTGAACCCTGTGTCTACCCGTACGGCCCTGATATGCTGTACATCTAACCAGTGTCTGTGCTCTCCAGTCCAGTAAAGCCCAGTCCAGTCCATTTGGTATTGGTTCTGGCCACAGCTACCAGACCGACCCGGCCTCCTACAGTCCCCTGTCGTCCCCGGCCACTTCCTCCCCCAGCGGCAATGCCTACTCCGGACTGACAAACCGCAGCACAGCTTTTGGTGAGCCCTGCTTTTCATTCTCTGAGTGATGTGTAGTAACGTCCCCTGTGTGCTATGGGCTGTATTTGTTGTGGAAGTCTTTGTGTGTCTTTATTTTCTGTTTGAAAACACAGAAACTGAGGAGCAACATGTAAACCCACTGCACTGCTTCTGTTCTGTTGAAGATCTTATTAGGTAGGGCTTGGTGACTTTGAAGTTAATATACCCATTCTCACTCCTAATAAAATCCAAATACCGCAGCCCTCGCTGTCTGATATCTACGCACTGTGGCATGCTATAGAGCAGGGGTCACTAAAGAGTCCGGACCCAGACCCTGTTATATCCGGACCTGGACCGAAAACCGATAGATAACTGAGAATTATCACATTTTGACTGAGCGCTTCTATTTTAACTGGTGCAGCTTTTCTAGCCTTTACGGTACTCGTTCAGCGGTCCAGGAAACACAGACCAATTACATGCGTTGTAAATCACATCACGTGATGCTGCTCAGCCAATCACGTCGGAGATGGGGCAAAAGGCCGAGTAGTCTGAGAATAATACGTGAGTCGAAAGTTATTTCACATGGCGAGACCACAGTCTTTAACCAAGAATAGACTAACTTTTATATCTTCATTCTTCCCACGGGCAGTTTAAGAGCAGCGTGTCTCATGTTCACAAACCGTGACCATTATTAAAAGCAGCGATGTGAAGCGCCACTAAAGAGACAAATAAAGGATCTAAGAGCTCAATATGATCAGCATCCTAACACATGACTTCACTGACCAACAATGATGTTAACAGAGAGGAAGCTGAAACAAGTGGTTAATAACCACAGCTAGAGTCCCTGCACAGAAAAATATAATATCGTGGTTTTTTGAAGACACTATGCAAGCCGTCCCTGGCATTAAAGAACTGACCCTAGAGGGGTGGCTCATAGTTTGAAGCTTAGGAGCTCTGACCAGGCTGCAGTATTTGACCCACTGGGGTGAGAATGTGTTGATATAGCACAGGTGCCAGTGGGAACACATGGGTCAGCTTTTATTGCCCATACGAGGCCAGGTGAGCTTGATCAGCTGACCAGCCTCCCAGGGGAGTCACACAGCAAAGAAACCAAAGGGTAGACAGATATGTTGTTTGAATATTAGATATTGGGTGAATATTGTAGCGTTTGCATGGTGAAAGTACTGAAGGGAGATCTAATATTGAAATTGCAGAGCTTCTTCTCAACAGAAATATACTCACAATCACAACACAGGCTTTCTCTAAAAGCATCAAGAAAGAAATAACATCAACGTGCCGCATCTGTTTGACCTCCACAGGTCCAGCATGACACACAACCTACCGACTCATGATCCATTATATTTATGTTTTGTAATCAGAATGTATTGCCATAATATATTTTACACAATGTGTGGAACATGAACTTATTTTTCATGTGGTCATAGCAACAACCTGAGACGCTGTTACCAGTGCAACTCTAGATGCTACATCTGTGCTGTGGTGGGATCCTAAAGTGTCACCTCATGTGGAGCTTTTAGGAATCTCAGTGTGTGTCACAAGTTGTGATCTCTGAGCTCTGCCAATGTTTCCACTTTCTCCTGGTCTTCACTGAGCTGGATATGTACAGTGGCAGCGCTGAGGTTGTTTCCTGTCAAATGTGTGTTGGCAGGAACCTTTAATGTCAGAAAGTGTCCGAGACCAAAGGAACACAAGTAATTACATGCCCTGTATCAACAGATCCTTTAACATTATTTAGCATTAGGAAACCTGGTCACATTCTATTCACATTCTGTATTCAGTTCAAATAGGAAGCTTATTTGTGTCCTGGTACAGATGTAATTACACGGATGGGGAAGCAAAGCTGTCAGAGTCTGACTCACTCATTAACACTTCCATCCACAATAAATATACATGTTTCTGAATGGACTTTAAAACTTATTTCTCACACACACTGTGTTGAAGGTGAAGAGGTGAAACTATTGTAACTATAGCAAACACTAAACCGATATAGATTCTCTTAGGTGTCTAAAATACATCCACAGCGGTACATTTGTTCCTTAAAGTCAGTATGACTCAGGTTAAAATGTTTGGTTATACACACACGCAAGTACAGTCATTACAGAAGGTATTACACACAGGCTGTGTTACAAACTGAGTCCACGCAACATGGCTCGATCAGAAAGATGCCAGAATGTTTGGCTCATACTGAGGAATAAAAGTCTTTTTTGTCTTCTGACATTTTGCCTCTGAAGCTTTTGATTTGGACTATTTTGGCCAGGAATTTAAAATTAAAATTAAATTATTTGATAATGTATTCAACTAAAATGACTCTGAAAATGTTGTGGGTAATTTGTTACATGAACATAAACCAAATGAGTACACAATGTTCTCACTAAGTGTTTGTGTCTCACTACACGTCATACCAGAGTGTCGAGCATTCAATGGTGCAGGTCGACCTAAGAAACTCAAGATGTCTTCTGTCCCCAGAAAAACCGCCTCCTACACTTCATCCCACTCTGCTCATTCACTACTCATTACTCTCACTGATGTCACACACCAATGAAACGCCTGACTGACTCTCAATCTCAATCATTTTTGGAGGTGAATGTAGACAATTGATAGTGCAGTTTAGATTAAACAAGTAAAACCACGAATGTAGATAGACACCATTAGAGTCAGATAGACACCAGGAGAGTCAGATAGACACCAGGAGAGTCAGATAGACACCACGACAGACAGATAGACACCACGACAGACAGATAGACACCAGGAGAGTCAGATAGACACCA